ATGGCTACCCATGCAATACAAAATGTGGTATTGACAGTTTTGCAGGAGGTTGGGAAATCAAGATCTGAACCATGGCAACACTGTAAAGTAAAAAGTAAAGAAATTTATCAAAGTTAACAGGTAGCCAGCTTGTTACGGTGCTTCATGTCCTGCTCAAAATAATTTTCTACTTCAAATTTGGGTGGCAGCTGCCACAAAAACTCCCATGTGCTCACAACAGTACTGAAGCAAACTGGGCCTGGAATATGAAGAAAGGAGCCAGAACGAGGTGCTATATGTCTTTCTAGGAGCTTCCCAAAAGAGATTTAGCTCACCAGAGCTGGACATCTGCTATGCCTTCACATCCACCAAGTGCTCTTGACACTTCACCCTGCCTGTATCTGCTTGGCTTCTGCCTGTGATTGGAACCAACATGAAGCCTCTGGGTGCATTCCCCTCACTGCAGGATGCAAAAGCACAGGCTATATGAGGCAAAAATGAGAGGTAGAGCTGTACATCAGCTGTTTGCTGGTGATTTACAGACTTATAAGATCCATTATGCCATCTGGTTACCTCCCTCCTGTAAGAAGCGATGTGTGATAGCGGACCAGCTCCTTTAAATGGTTGCAGAATACCATTTTCCTCTCTACTTCTGTGTTTCTGACACCAGACCACACCTGAGTATGGGTTAATTTCTGTCCCGCTCAGGTCCATCAGCAACTTATTTATCCTTTGTCCTTTAGTTCCTAAATCAAGAATTAATAAGGAGAAGAAAATGCTAATGCTATTTTAGGTGTGCTGCCAGCACATCCGAAATGGACTGGTTATATTGTCAGAAAAACATGGGTAGCTGACAAGTCCTGCAGAGAGATTAAATACATGGGAGGACTGTGAGCAAGACAAGAGAGACATGCTGCTATTGATAAGCTAAAATCGGTGTTTGTTCCCCAGCACTCTCGGTATCACGAGAGTCAGTTGCAATGTCTCAGCTCGCTGTTTGTGCATTCCTGGTACCTGACCTTCTCCACGTGGCTGTTGTGCATCTGTCAGCCTGCGAGCTTCCCACTACATGGACCACACACCGAGAAGGGGGAGGGGGAAGGAAGCGCAGAGGAAGGCAGGAGGGAGAATAAATACCTAAATTGTTTTTTTCTGATTTTACACATAGTCTAGGGAAAAGGACACTGGCAGGAGCCAAATGGTGTCTGAACACTGCTGTGCTAACACGACAGCTTTATGGGGAAGCCGTACTGGGTCAGAAGCCTGATTCCCCCTACCTTTGGTTGAAAACTTTTACACGGGGGAAAGACAGACATTTTCAGGGTAAAAACTGTGGTAGAGTGGTAGAGAGCAGACTTAAAAACCTTCCTTTGCCCTGTGACTGTGTGGCGTGGTTATATACCTAAAAAATGTTGACCATTTCGGAGGAAATAAGGGCAGAAAAGGAAGGCAGAATGAAATCCTGTGCAGGTCGCTGCTTTCTGCAGGCTGCAATCCACAGGGGCGATACCCTCACGGTCCCACTGGCAGCCCCCCAGCAGAGCAGGCACGTGGGCTCCGTACTACAGCGCAAAACCCGGGCTCATGCAGCTGTAACATTCCTCCTCCATCATTTGTGCTGTCTCCCCTCCTTCCTCTCCCCTCTTACACCTGCCTGCGGCCACTGCAGCTTGCTTTCTCTCTCCCTCCTGTCTCCTGTCCTCCTCTCCCCTCATCTCCCAGAGCCTTCCCTGGCACACGCCTCTTGAGATGGGAGCGATGGGAGCAGGGGATGGCAGGTCACCTGGGTGGGACCAGGAACCAGCAGAGTTCAACCTCAAACACAGCAGCTAGTGGGTCCGGGTACTGCCCCGGGGTGGACAGGACTGGGGAAGGTGATTACAGTTCAAGGTAATCCGTGCTCATGGCTTTTCCTAGGCTGCTCTGGTAGAGCACTACAGGCCAAGCCAAAGGAAATTCTGCAGCTGATTTCACTAACAGGATAAAATCAGCCTCTGTTGGCACAGAATTCAGCCCTGAAGGTATATGAATAATGTTTCCTTAACTGGCATCTGGTTCTGCTCCTTGCGTTACGCTCCTATTACCAAGAGACAAGTGAGGCCTCTCTGACCATCCAGTGGTTCATGGTGTTCGAGACAAACTATGAATACCCACTCGAGGAAGGAGGAGGAATGGGACAGAATGTGATACACAGGTTATAAATCATCACTCTGGTCTCGGCTAGGAACCAGGCAGGGGTCCTGAGCCTGTTCATCCAGTTAAACAGGTACACGTGCAGACGCTCAGCTGCAGATGACATCACAGCGGCAGAAGACCTCAGCCTGCAACACGGGCAGCGGAAAGCCTTCCCTGCAGAGCCGAAGCAGACCCACTTTTCACACTGCCCTTACACCCAGCCTGGAGCCGCGGGTTGCTACGCCTGCCACGCTGCTGGTTCAGTCACACAGATTAAATACGCTCTCCTCGGACATGGAAGCTATTATTTCTCTGAGATGAAACAGCATCCCACACTCTTATTAACCTGTGCCCTACTTCAGAAATAAATCTAATCTGCGGCTTTCATAGTTAGCTAGTGCTGGTGTTGGTTGTCCCTGTGTCTGCTCTGACTTTGCTGGATACCTTTATGCAGCACTGTACATGGCAGAGCCCTGTTTACTGTGGCCTGTAAGCGTTCTTCCTCACAACAGAATAAGGAATTGGGGTGGTCGGAGCTTTTTGTTTCACTGGGGAAGAGAAATGTAAAGGCACAAAAGTTAAAAACGTCCCTGCAAGAACAATTTTTGTATTCAGCAGAGAATGACGTGCTCTCTGCTAAACGAAGTTTGTCATCTCGGACACTCCTGCGCATCTGGTCACCTTCCCCAGGGCGTCTCGAGAGTCGTGCTGTACGAGAGGGGAGAGTTTCAAAGGATTCACTGGGTTTCTGATGGCAAACATCAAACAAAATGGGTATTGTTTCACAAATACACAAAGCAATAGGGAAAGGGAAGTAGAATCTTCTTCAACGATGGCCACCACAAAAGCAGTACATACAGCAACTTATGTGGTAGATTCATCTGTAGATTATATTACCTAACAAGAAATTCAAGAAAGTGAAGGAAACCCAAAACCGTTTTTAACCAATGCTCAATATTTTCAGTTATAACCGGCACAGGTTATTGCCTTCTTTTGAGGCATTGAACGTAACTATATTAAAACTGTGAAGATGTGTGGAGCGTGAGTGATTTTTCATTATCTTATGGGGGGTGGGGTGGGGTTGGGGGAGGACAAGACCGTGCAATTTCAGTTCCTCTGGGGATTCAGCGCTGTTCTGTCGCTGTGCAGTGGAAGGACTCCTGCTCGCGCCGGGTATTTCGGTAGTCCCTTGGTGTGCTGACACGGCCGGTGACTCGCAGCTTGGCGGAAGGCAGCGCACGAACAGACTAATGTGTCGACGGCCGCAGTAACGCTCCCCAGCTTGCCATACGAAGACCAAGTTCTACAGAAGACCAAGTCCTACACACGATGCTTCTGCGATCTCGCAGCCCGTTCGCAGACTGCTCCTCCTGTCCTTTGAGCCAGCTGGAAGATAAACTGCGGTCAATGTGTTACGCTGTGCCCTTTGTAATGAAATAACATCTGATAATATGTATTTAGTGGGGATTTGAATTCCCGAGCTGATTACACAGAGCTGTTAAGACTTGTGAGGTTTAGCAGCGCTCAGAGCCTAGATCGACGCGCAGCGTTGCAGCGAGGTGCTCTCTGATGGCGCTGGGAAGGCTAGGACTTCATCAGGAATAAACCTGAGAGCGTACAGAACTGAACACGCCAGCCATACAGCCTGACACTCAGTGAGGATTTGCCAGGAGCTGACCAGAAAACTAGGCTCCTCTGCTCCGCGTTCCTCCGGCTCTAACAGGCCGTTTGCTCCGAGATCCCGGGCGTGTGACGGTCTCTCCGTGCCCGCTCCCCAGCAGCCAGATGAGGGCGGCAGTATTCAATGTGCCCGCAGAATGTTATGAAATGGGGCGAATTAACGTTTGTAAAACGCTTTTTATAAAAGTTGCGACGGCAGCGCAGAAAGGGGCTGCTACCGATTAGCGCCCGCGGAGAAGAGGTCTTCGCTCCTGTCAGACAGACGCCGTGTCCTGCCGCAGGGGCCTG